CGTTTCGATTCCTCCGACAACGACCCGCCTCTTCCGAAACGGACGGCATAAGTCAGGGAGTGTAGTTGTTCTAATGACGGCAACTCTCCCCGGCGAACTAGTCGTCACCGTGTTCGATATGGCTTCTTAAGGAAAACCAATTAGTCCCTCGAGTGATAGTTCGTGGTTAGTGTGTAAGATTGCGCGAGCGGATCTCCGGAAGTATTAGTGACGTGCTAAAAGCGCGAAAACGCTTCCCTCGACGTCTCTCGCGTGATTTCTCATGCCGCTAAAGATACCTTTAGGTCACGTTTCGAGTCATTTCCCTCTGAGTGAGTGTTCTTTTTGCGTGAGTAAGCAGAAATTCAGCCGCCACTCTCTTGGTTCTTTATATCCGGTGTCGGCGGCTATTAAAGTTGCTCGACTTTTTCTATCGATCAGGTGTAAAAACGCTATGCCTGAGCATCGCGCCGCCACTCCGAGACAAAGGCTGTTACGAGTAGGGTGTAAATGAATGAGCCGTCCCGTCGTGAAAAATGATCTCGGCCAGACTCCGAGGTATCTACTAACAATTGGTCACTACAGTTTCCACGTTGACGCGCTTCCTCTAGCGCGAGAGCACAATAGCGCTATTTTATTTGCCATTTTAAATTTTCTGCGAGATGAAATTTAAATATGAGTATCGGAATATATCAGATTGATTCATCAATCAAATCGCACTACGATTTATATCTGTCTCTTTTATTGCGGCAATAGATCGCATCGCGCGCTGATTAATCTGTCTCAATTAGCGGCGGCCATTCATGCATTTGACGATGTACATCAAATGTGTCACTTCATAAACACGAATATCGTTTTAGTCAGTGCGCGTAACTTGATTGGCTTATTTTCAATATTTTACAATGCACATCGCTGTAATGCCATTTGATTTAGATAACGGGCATCGAGTTACAATATAGAACTTTCAAACATTAATATCCATGTTATTTGCTTGATGCCGCTAAATTGACAGTATCTAAAGCGTAGAAATTTTTTGGGCTTTCAAATGGAATAAACTGGCAGCTATTTTAGACGTGTTGAAAGTGAACGATTGAACCACTTTGAATGCAATGCAGTAGATCGTCGAAAGATTCCGCAAAGCCAAAACTTTAGAAACGTTTTCCCAAAGGCGAGAAAATTTAAGGATCAAACTCTGTAATTTCGCTGAACATTTACCAACTTTCCTTCAGAAACTTTTCGTAGGTACAAGTAGACTTTGTACAATATAAACCTTTGTCTAAGAAAAAAATATAGTTCTCTCTCATGTTAAATGAGAAAAATTAGAACTTTTGTTTAATATATAAAATATATGTATATATCCTATATTATATATATATATATATATATATATATATATATAGATAT